ACGCATGATCGCACGGGCCCGTCCGGTGCGTTCCAACCTGGGTTTTTTCCTATTCACTGGCTATTGCATAGTATTCAAGATACTACTGATATGCTATTATAAGCAACGTTTATCCCTGGGCCTAAGTCAACATTTTTACTTCACCATCAGTTTGTTTGCAAATATTCATTGTAAAAGACCATCATTGATAGCAGCTGATCAGCTTCTGGGGAATGCTACTTTTGATTCATCTGAAGCATCGCTGCTCGTTATTACCGAGAATTTCAAGAAAAATTTGATTTTGGCACCGAATGACATTCACTCCCTTCACTGAGAGATTTGGAATAGCTATGCCCAATGTATGCGAGCATTCCAGTAACATCGCTAACATGCGATAAGCATGGTGATAAGCCAGGATTATTCTTGGTAAAGATTATTGAAAGTCAGAACTTTTACAATCCAGACTTCGTGAAAGGCAGAGGCACTAGGATATAACTTGATAGATAACGACTACCATCAACAACCACTCGCTGGCAAAGCCGTCGACGGCTCCTTTTCTTTCAGTGGTTGTTTAGAAATTAGCGGTTATGCCGGTGCCGCTGACTTGAAAATAAGTACCACTAGTATACTTTGCCAAACTTTTGTAACGGAATATTTTGTAGATGTGGAAGAGTTGGCGCACCATAAATATCAGGTGCTGGAGGATTGCTTGTATTACAAGCTGAGTCAGGATGCTGATGTGATGCAGGGCAAAGCAAGCGCAATCAGCATCCTACCACCAACACTGGCTGCAGCCGAAACTCTGGATGCTGAGATACTCGAAATTGTGCTGCGGCAACTATGGATGGTAGAATCTTTACTATGCTCTAGAATAATTTGTCATAATTGCTCATTACTTGAGAACTGCGATTTTTTTTAATTTTAAACCAATCGAAGTTCCCTTTTTTGGACGTTGCTTTCGGGTATCAGCAGGAGGTATATGTAGATGCAAATGACGGTTTTTGAAGCTGTTTTTGATGACCAAGCATAATTAACAAGACTTGACAAGATTTTGATCCTGATTTCCGCTGATTCGCTTCCAGCTTTCGAACCCTGAATTTTCGCTTCCAGAAATGCTCAAATTCTGTACTGCATTTTCGGAATAATTGGGTCAAGTGACAAGGAAATAGAATCCATCCCAAAATCAGTTGCCAAGTGTTTCTCAATTAATCCGATGTTAAGCTCTTGGAAGAACAAGGAGTATCTCTAAGAAAGTGATCCGAAATGTGGCTGCTCAACTGAGTATCAAAATTCTTCTAACGCTTTGTTTAAAAAAAATGGTACGTTTTGAAGAAAATAGTTTTTCAGAATGAAATGTGGCACGTGATGAATATCAACGGGCATTTTTCAATTGTTAGTTCACTTTCGATTAGATTTGAAAAATAATGAACAACTATTTATACCAAGAATGCCAAGTTCGCTCGGACTGTTGAGATGCGGGGTTCCCTGTTAGTGACGTTAATGAGGTGCTCCACAAGCCCGGCGCAGCTATGCTAGGCTTTTAGTCCTGGTCTGCATAGTACCCACATTCTGCCCGATGTATGTACATTTCTTTTGCGGGTGGTGTCCTAGTCCCAGCTTCACGAGTGTTATTCACATTTATTTGGATTCAACGCCTAATAGATGTCAGAAAGTTTTTAAAATACATTTTTCTAAAAATAGCGATTTGTAGCGCACGCTTAGAAAAATGCTAAAAATGGTGCTCGTCTGAAATTACTAAAAATGATTCTCACCTCGGGATTTATTAAGTAACGCTTTATGATGTTCTTGCAGGCACCGCGTTGCAGTACTGGATTTGCCCTATTTTACTCTGGCCACGTCGGGAATATTAGAAATTATGAAGTCCTTAATAGTGGGTTTACCAGCTGCCAAAAGTTTTGTGCAGTACGCCGCACGTTTTTTTTTT